TGAAGACCTGAAGCCTGGTGACGACCTGAAGCCTTGAAGACCTGAAGCCTGGTGACGACCTGAAGCCTTGAAGACCTGAAGCCCAGTGACGACCTGAAGCCTTGAAGGCCTGAAGCCTGGTGACGACCTGAAGCCTTGAAGACCTGAAGCCTGGTGACTACCTGAAGCCTTGAAGACCTGAAGCCTCTTCGTGTCTTCGTGTATTCGCGTGTCTTCGTGTCTTCGTGTCTTCGCGTGTCTTCGTGTCTTCGCGTGTCTTCGTGCCTTCGGGTCTTCGCGTGTCTTCGGGTCTTCGTGTCTTCGCGTGTCTTCGTGTCTTCGCGTGTCTTCGGGTCTTGGTGTCTTCGCGTGTCTTCGTGTCTTCGCGCAAAAGTCACAACCCGCTTCTGCCAACACAATGCAAACACGTCTCAAACATTGACTCTGTGTCACCATCAAGTCCACTGATTTCAGGACCCACTGAGGCTCCGGCAAAGAACTAGGAGGCAGTTGAGAATCAAGGCCGAGACTAAGGCTTTCAAGTCGTCCGGGCCATTCCTGAGTTGGTCATTTTTGACACCTCTTCATTTGCGGAGCATGTATGCGGAGCATTGAGGAGCATGCACCCGAGAAGAACGGAGGATAGTAACTAGAAGCTATACTAGGTGGAGGCCATCGCTATTAGGTTGGAGGCCATGGCTACTAGTAACAATAAAGCTTTCTAGTAACGTCTAGTAAGCTTCTTTTATTTATTTTTTCCAATAGCTTCTTGTTACTAGTAGTAAGGCCAGGATCCCCTAGTAGCCTCCTTATTCCTAGTAGCGATGCCAGGAGCCCCTAGTAGCGTCCTTGCTCCTTTCCTTAGGAATCGCTTCACTGGGAAATTTAGGAGTTCTCGCGTTCGTCCATGGAAGTTGAGCATCTCTCCAACGTCCGGCATTTTCGCCGTGCCCTTGGTGGTCTGCCTGGTCCCGGGTGCGGCGTGATAAGGGGTATAAGGTAAACGGATTGACAGAGTCCGCAACTGGAGGTCTGAGGGTAGGAAGGTGGTTGCAACAGTGCATGAAAACCATTGTCTCAAACAAATTGTCCAGTCCTGCAATTCCTGCCCGCGAGGCATATCGCACATACCAGTACCCTACAGATCCCTACAGTACATACCAATGGAACAAAAAACCCCATGTAACTCCTAGGTTTGTAGAAGTGGAGTCATAATGTCACAATATTAGGTCTATGCACTGCTTCAAGTCTTTCACAGTCGCGTATGAAGCTGAGCCGAACTGGGAGCTTTTGTGGCACACGTGTGTCGTCCGGCATCGCACCAAACACTCCGAGGGTGGGTTTCTTGGGCTCATGAGGCTTGTTGTTCCTAATAACTATACCCCATCAAAACAGGGAACGCCATACAACAAACTGGACACTCGGACCCCCAAAAAGGGAGGACCTGCTTCTACCAGATGCAGCGTGGTCTTCTGTGCAAAAGCGCAATTTGCAGCAAGGTCACGCAGCTACAGGCAAGAGGGCCTCAAAGTCACACACTGAGACAAACCATTGTAACCATGCTGGACAAACCTACTGTAAAGGTCGCTCCATTCCTTGCACAATAAACTAGGAACCTCAGCTGAAGTTCGAGGACCTTCCATTTGGTTACCATCCCAGAATCGACCCTCGGCACTGAAATGAATCTTAAACTAGACCATGGATGACCGTGGTCTTCATGTCCAGCAATGGCCTCTTGACCACTGGTCGCTGGTCGCTGCTCTTGAGCTGGTCGCTTCAACTCTCTTGCTTTTTAAGTGCAGGGCCATTGCCACCAGCCATGGGCCCCGCATGAGTCTAGGCATGGGACCCGAGCCCGGATGTCCCGTTCGTCAGCCGGTTCTTTACAATGCGGAAACACTCGTGGTTTGCCGCTCGACGCTGAGTGATGCCAGCGCAGCAAGTGCGGTTCCGTGCGCAGCAAGTGACGCAAATGCAAAAAAGCTGAGTCTTCTGAGTGCAACCGGTAGCAAGGACGCTACGAACGTAGCTCCTGGCATTACTACTAGGAACAAGAAGCTACTAGTAACAAAGGGCAATTCTACTAGTAGCAAGGACGCTGCTATGTAGGTATTTCATCGACTTTCTTCAAGGGTCTCCTGAACGCAAGACCGGAGTGATTTGGGTGAGTACTACCTTTTTTCATCAACACATGAATTCGGCTCTGAACAACTTGGGCCTATTTAAGATTGAAAACACTGGTGTTACAGCCTGGACACGGAGGGTGATGGTGATCGGCGATCGTCTTCATTGACTTCCAAGAATTCCCTGGCCACAGAAGTCCTCAATCTTATCTTACCCTTGGCGCGCCTTGTCAACCGAAATTAATAGTAGCTTCTAGTTCCTAGTAGTAAGGCCAGGATCCCCCAGTAGCATCCTTGCTCCTAGTAGCGATGCCCTTTGCTCCTAGTAGCGTCCTTGTTACTAAAGTAAAATCCATCAAAATTGCTCAATTGGATTCAGGTGGTGCAGCATCTGGTCTGTCAGCTGCATGTTTCCCCATGACTTCGCCTTGTTTTGTCGGTATCGGAATCTCGGTGTACAAGCACCGAACGAACGATGTCAGTTTCCGCCTGTATATCGCCCGCAGAAACAAAAAATAGAAATAAAATGAAATAAACAAAACACTGAACTCTATGGACTTGACCATGGCGATCCTCCGGTCCTCTTTTCGCTTTGAACATCTTTCTTTGGGGTCCAGACACCGTGGGCGTTCCGAGGCACCCGGACGCGGTCCGGCCCGCCCGGCCGGCCCGCTGACGAGCGGAGGCTTTGGAGATCCAGGAGGTGTTCAGGGTCGGCCTGGTCGGCCGTTTCGGCACTCGGAGCGCCGTTTCGGCGCAGCTGGAAACGCCGGAACATCGGCGCAGCTGGCTTTGAGGGAGAATTTTGGGAGGGTACCATTGCTGCAATGAACACAAGGGAAGCTCTTTGTCTGTCGATGGGTTTTTTCTCTCAATCTCAATCGAATACATTGGAATCACTTGGGTGGTACAGCACTGGTCTGCGAGTCTCAACCATTGCGCGTCCCATGGATGTTCAGTCGATGTGAAAACGATTGAAAATGCATGGGCACTCCAAGCCTTTCTTGGAACATACTAGAATGCCATGCCCCAAATTCCTGCGTGCCTCTCTACTTGATCCACATGCCGTACATCGCCTGCTATATAATCAGAGCCATGTTGCAAAGGTTCCACGAGCAGCGTGTTGGCCATTTGGAGCGTCCGTCCAAGGGTCGAAGCTCGCGTGGGATCGGTCGAGCGCGAGGGAATCCTGCCCTCTCGCCCTCCATCTGGGATGGGCCCTACGGCCCTGATTACTGGGAACGTTTGAATGGGAGATCTACAAGATCGTGCTGCAGTACCCCAAGACTACACGAAACTGTGAAAGACCTGCGAAGGAACAGTCCTGGCTAAGGTCGAACTTAGTGCCCACACACTCGCAGGAAGGCATCATAGCTGGTCTCCTGGTGCGTCATCCCAAGGGCCAGCCCATTGACTATGAAAACTTGCAAGATAAGTGGCATCGCAGAGATTGCAAACCCAAAAATTGCTTCAAATGACATGTGGTTCTTGTCCAAACCATGTTTGACTTTTGAGGGATCACATCATATCAGGCGATACACCTACATGCGATACACCTACGTGAGAAGCAAAGTTTATGAGGGCAAACAAAGCACAGAGAGAGATATAATGACATACATACCATATGATATACTTATAACTCATAATGGTTTTACTGATGTTTACTGCACATTGTCTTGTCATACGAATTGTAAAGCAAGGGCGCCCGTGAGATCTAGTGAAGCTAGTGAGATCCATATTCATTGTCCTTGCTTAGCTGGGCACTCGTGCCACTCCCGATGCCGTTCCCGCTCGATATCGGCACATTGGCCACCCCAAAAGAAGGCACAAGCGACACGGCTCAAGGGTGTCCCGCCTTGGCACGGCCACAGTCAATCACCGTCTCAATGTCGTCGATGGTCAGTGCCGTTTCTGCAATGTTCGTGCTCAACACAATCTTTCTCACCTGGAAAGCACAAAGGTTCATTGAAGTGGAACTCACCGACCTATTTACACACTGCACGTACCTCTACTCCGCTGTTTGTTGCGGCGCAACCACGACAGGAGTGCTGCTCAAGCCAACTGATTCAAGATGGCGTAGCTAAAACCATCTAAAATCTGAGCCCCAGTTCCTTACCAACTCTATGCTGATCACCCAACCTTATCCACCAATGGATAAGGCTGCCCTTGCGGTGCAAAACCTTTGCAAACAATTCTTAAGCTTTACGCCAAGGGGTTCTTGGAAACTAGGAGTTCTTTGCACGTGAGCATCTTAAATCATGCTCCGCTTGGTGGAAAGAACTTCCTGTGCAGCAACGCCGATTGATCCAAAACCCGAAACCCTTGCACGCTATTTAACCTCCTGGATTCACAGCATCGCTGCCAGGTGAACAAGAAGCAGTCACCAAGGTGGTTTGCCAAGCAAACAAACTGTGCGATATTGTGCAATTATGGCTAAGGCTGCCGCAAATTTGATTGCTTAGATCAGGTAGATCAGGACAGGAGAGGACACGGTTCACGCCAAGACAAGATCTTGTTCACGTACGCACTTCTGAATAGGAAAGTAACACAACGGACCAGCAGCTGCCAAAACTCCCTGACAACGTCCAAAAGAACATGCTTCAAGATTTCATGTAGAAACAAATCTTGCGCACTTCCGACTGCCTACAAATGCCTACAACTGCCATGCTGGCGCCCATGAAACGACGATGAAATCGCGTTTGGACACGGTGGGCTCAGCTGGGCTTCCTGGCACCGGGTGGAGGAACTTGGAAGACCTGCCGTTTTTGAACTCGAAACGGCTCGAATTCTGCCGGCGAGAGAGTTCCGGGGTCTGTGAAGTGGAATGTGAAAAAGAGGCGGATCAGGTTGGGTGTGTGTGGGTGTGGAAGGATTGTTGGGGGAATAAGCGTTTCAGCTTCCATCTACTCCAGGAAAACAATTTGGAACTGGAAAAGAGAACGAGAAAATCCACAACTCTTGCTCACTTCCGGATGTGTTTCTTCGACATCTTTGACCGCACCACAATCAAGTGTCAGTCATCCAGTCTAAGCGAAGCACCAAAACATAGAAACAATCCAGTCCATGCTGCATGACATGTTTCCCTGCATGACTTTCTTCGCCCGTTTCGCCAGAAAACCGACCCACCACCACACGAAAGCAAGCGTCCCAGGCGAAAGCGACGCTCGTTGCCCCTCGTTGCCCCGCCTCCTTTTGCTGCTCCAAGCGGATCTGCGAATGCAGCGGCCTCAGATCTTCGCCGGGTGGAGCGACCGGTGGTCGTTGGCGGTCGGTTGTGGTCGAGGGCGATGTGCGGCCATTGGCAAACCCGAATCAACACTGAACCCTGGCCCTTATTGGCCCAAGAATTCACTAACGGGAGCGGCTTTAAAATCTTTAAAGGGAACTCACCCCGTCCAGCATCCTGTGTGAAAATAGCCACATATAGCCACCCTGTCGGAAGCACGTTTCAAGAAATGTATGGTCACAACTGCTACAGTATACACGAAATATCACAAAATACTAGCCCCTGTTGTGCCGAGAAAAGGCAGCACAAGCGCTGCTGCAGGTGTCCAAACTATGATAGACCAATATCCGCACACACAACATATATATATGTGTTCATGTGTTTGTTTACCTTTAATTGGTTATTGAATTGGTTAATTTGTGTATGTGTTTGAGTTCTTTTATTTGTACAGTAATTATCTCAGTATATAATACCGATACCTGTGTTGCAATACATTGTTCTTCTCTCTCCTTCACCCACACCACAGCTGTTTCCACCCCAGCCGAGGCACAGGATCCAGAACCAGCGGCTGCCGAAGACGTCGTGACTCCGCAAGAGGCGCTTCAGCCGGTCGATGTCGTCCCAACCAGGGAGGAAGATCAAGATCCCTGGCAGTTGATGAGTCCGGCGTTTATGGGTCCCTCGTCGCCTGGGGGTGGAGCTTGATGGCTTTAAAGAAAGGCTGGTGAGTGATACTTAGCAACATGGTGGGCAACATAGAAGTGATTCCTCGCAAAATGTGATGATTGATGATCACGTAAATATCTCGAATTGTAAGGAGCCCCAGTGTGAAGGCTAGAATGGACATGAATGGACACTGTATTCACGATCTTGCGAGGGCTGCATGGCTGCGATATATTATGAGGTTGTCTCAGCATGGCAGGCCCAGGTAAAGCTCTGGCTGGGCCCGTGGAAACACACGCTTATTGAGGACCTTCCCATCGAGAAGCAGCTTCTGCCATGGGCATTCCATCATGGTACCTTTTTGGTTTGGGGCTTTGAGGCTCCGAATGGCAATGTACTGGCAGAAAACTCGCTGCCAATTATTGTCGCTGGACACATCCAAATCTAGCGGCACAGGCCATGCCGTGAACAAGACAAAAGTCTCAACTTCCCCAAGAGCTGATGCTGGGTGGCGACAACCTGCAGCCTCTGTACTGAAAGGCATAAAGGGTCCTGTCATGTCCCGCGCTGTTTTGCCAAGTTTGGGGCGTCCTTTTGGCTCTGTCAGAAACACGCTCACACGGGCCGCTCTTTGGCGTCTCTGGAACGGCAAAGGACAAAAATCGACAAAAACCATGTCACTCACTCACCTAGGCATGTTCCCGCTGAGGTTGCAAAATCTGTTGGCCCACCAGTCTCGCACCTCCCTTGCCATTCTTCGGCTTGCGCGCCTGCAACTGGGATGGGTTAAGTCAGCCAGTTCCAACGTGTGTGGTATCGGGGATTACTTAGAGCTGCAAAAAAACTACCAGCCTCCAAGTGGATTCATAGGCATCACTGAGTGGGATCGTCTTAAAGAAACGCCTCTGGTTCATCCCTGGTTCACATCTGCGGCTATATCAGTTGAGGATCGACTTTAAGAAATTCCATCCGGCCATTCGGTACCTCTGTGCCTCTTCAACCTAAGACTTTGGTCAGTCAGTAGCAGTGAATGTGTTGCATCTTGCTACAAGGACTCCCGTCACCTTAACAAGGTGGTCTTGCATCAGTCAGAAACGTTGTAATCTGTGACAATGCTGCATGTTGTCTCGGAAAAAAGGAGAAGCAGCTCTCCCCAAAAAAGGAGAAATCAGAAAGTCAAAAGTCCACTCAGATTGATTTTTCGAAAGAATGATAAACACATATAAAAACGGTTGGGATGTGAAATAGTCTTGCAAAGCTGGTTGTGTCTCTAACTGTAACTTCTTCTCAAGGGCATCGCTATACAAACACATTGATGTCCCAATATATCAAGAAACCATCAAAACGGAGGCAGCCTCAAAAAACAAACACTGCCACAAGTCAGCTCTAATCAAGGACCAAGGCCTCGTTTGCTACCTGATTGCATGTTTATGTTACTCACTGAATTTTTTTGAATGACTCTACCATCCATGCTCCACTTCCAAAGATCCATACCAGGACGCTCAACATACGACCTGATCAAGCCGATCTAGCTGCGATCAGGCCCACTCATCCCAGATTTTCCAGCCTTTTTGGGGGATTCCTGCTCCAGCATGCTCCTGGCGCGAGAAATTCCGGCTGATCCAGCCCAAACTCCAGAGTCCGGAGATCAATCATATCTTGGAATCTTTGGTCACTCTTGTCTCAGATTGGCACCACCATATCTATTGCTCCTCACAGGAGAAGAGGATGAAACTCTGTGTAATGAGTCGAATGTTTGTTCATGTAGTTGTTTGATGTTTATTGGAGATTGTAGATCAGTGCTCCACACCCACCATGAGCTTGGGCAACAAGAAAGGTCACTGGAGCATGCAAACCTAGCTCCACACAGCCTCAGGACATGATGTTTTGCTAAGGGTGTGGCGAAGAATGACCACAGGCCTAAGCCTTTTGAAAGCTCTAAAAGCTTTCCTGGGGTAGGACATGTGGACCCAAGGCTGTCATGGGAGGCAAGGAAGCACTCTTCTGGCCAAGGGGCAACAGCGCTTCGATAATCGGGAAGTCATAGAGGACACCCTGCACTCAGGCTGGTGAGAGTTGAGAATGACAAACTTGTGACAAACCGCTCAAGCCAAGTTGACCTCGAAAATAGCTTAAAGAAAACAAACTGAAATCAGCCTGCAACCAACACCGAGCGTTTCATCTAGGCATGCGCCGCTACACGTGAGCATTTCTTAGCAAATACACATATTTTTGGGCCTTAGGGTGATCAAGTGATGATGCAAAACATATTGTATAGCATATCTTGCATCTTGCTTATGTTTTGAAGCTCCAGTCAAACTGTGCATGGGGAACTGTGTGATTGATATACGATCGAGTCTAGCAATTGCTGTTGATGGCCTATATATAGTGCGAATGGTTGGATGCCCTCGCCATTTTACAGGCAGTGTCGGTCGTGAAGCGGCGCGAATCATGTATGGGTGTCGCCCAAGATTCCAGCGATCACAATGGATCTCTCTCAGTTGTCATTTTTTCAGGTCCTTTCCGGGAGCTACAGGATGATGGGAGCACCCAATGGAGCCCTTCGAACACCTGAACAATGTCCTGGGTCCATATCCTAAGCCCTGGCCAGCGCAGCCCACCTTGGTCTGCTGCAAAACATCATGAAGAAAGAGTCCCTGGAGCCGCTTTCCACAGGCACCAGTGGCACACACCACTGGCAACACTGGTAGAAGTAGACAAAGCAGCACTGGTAGGGCATCTGGCTGGGGTGTTGAGAAAGTACACGGTCATTGAAGGTACCATGGGACTTCTTACATTCCAGGCAAACCAAGAGTCTTGCAAGGGCCTAATGTGCCGCCCTGCTACTCTAAGTGGGAGCTTGAGAAAGCATTGTAGACTGTTTGAAGGTAGTGAGCCCAGTCTACAAAGCTAGATACACCAGCATGGCTTGGTGTCTTGAGCTGTGGGCTAGGTAGACCAGTGCGTGAGGTTTCAGTCAATGATAACTCCAAATTCATTCAATTCACTAGACTACAGGAAGTCCAATCAAAGATCAACCAGGGATATGCATGAGTATATACAGTATATAATTGCTAATTAACTGTGCACACAATATAATACAATAAATATATATATATATACTGTACGTAATTACAATTACAAAAACAATATTAGACAACCGACCGGTTGCTCTTCAGGGGAATAGGCTTGCTCTCCACAGAGAAACACGGTTTCGTTGGGTGCCATGCCTCGTCTTTTCGTGCTCCTGTCAAGGGCTCCCAGGCGTAGTCACCTCGAGGACTTACGGGAGACTTCCATGGGAAATTGTGTCGATCTGAAGTTTCCAACCTAGAAGCGATGGCCTACAACATAAGATTGATGGGAACTGATTGGGAAGCCATGAACCCATCCACTGCTTCAGTCTTAATCGCAGGGTCCCTAAACATAATTTTCTTGGAGCTTACGCAAGGGCCGAGATTCCAGACCAACGGATCTCAGAATACTTCCCTCATCATTGAAGACACGCGATGTCGTGGACTGTATGGATGCTGCATTTTTCCAAGTCGAGAATCAAGACATTCCACAAGCCATTCCACAACACCGTGATGGACACACCTCCAGAAGACCAAACAAAGGAGCGAAGACGCTACGAACGGAGCATTTCGGGCATCGCTACGAACGGAGCTTTCGGACGCTACGAACGGGGCTCCTGGCCTTACTACGCACGGAGCAAGACAGCAAGAAGCTATTCGGTAGGAGGCCATCGCTTCATGGACTGGGTGATCCAAAGGCTTCCCAACTCGCTCCAACTCGTCAACTCGTTTGTCGTACCCCTCGAATCCCCTCGAGGTCCAAACCGGACGCGAAGACACCCAGCGATTTGACCGAGTGGCTAAAGCCACAAAGCTGGTCAGGATCATACGTGTGGCTCACCAGGACCTGATACCTGGTCGATGTGCTCCAGTCCAAGCGGGCGCGCCGGAAATCCGTCGGTCGCTCTGTGGTTCCCAAATCAAACACCATCCAAAGAATGAGCTCAAGAATACACTGCACCACCACAACACCATGATGACGCATTTGCAAATAAAGACTCGGGATGCTTGTGATGTCTAGCTGATGCTGCAACGCTATCAGCATCTTACTAGTTTGCTTGGTCTGAATGAATTTGTTTGGAGAGCAGACCAATCAAATCCACGCTCACTTTGCCAATAAATCAAAGCAACCGAAAGCGATGTTGTATCGGATAGTTTGTCCTTGGTGAATACTTGCTGCCCAAAACGGATAGTCAGAGGACACCACCTCATCACGCTTTTGATATCTAAAAATTTTCACCACCCCCAAAGTCTCGTGGTCCTCATCAAAGCAGTTTTGAGTGGATTCCAGTTACCACAAGAAAAAAATAAGGAACCAGAGTTGATCAGTCTAGGGATTTTGTCTTTGGAACCACTGGTGATCTGGATCATTCTTTGGAAGAATTCGACCATGAACTGCCCATGGCTCACTTGAAGGACTTCTCTCGGCCCTTGTTCTCCCAGCCTGGGCGAAGTGGGAGGCGACCAGGGTCCGGGTTGCTTGGGCTCACCTATCCTACCGAGGGACGCGTTGGTTTTTCTCGTTTGGGAGGACGGTGTGGTCAACTGATGTGTTCATCAGCTGCAGCCATAGATCCACCCATCCTCGATAAATCGAGGTGAGAGTCGGCATGAAACTGGGAATGAACACGTGTGAATCGGGTATCTGACATCCCCAAAGATCGATCAACTCACTTGATAAATATGTCCGTGGGATCCATCATGGCCCAAGGTTGAACACAAAAGAACTCGTTTGAACCACCACTCCACCCAGTCCATTTACTCCACCCCTTCGGTTCTGGCTTCGATCGAAGACCCCTTGGCGACCGGACTCCCATAGCCTAGCCCACCGGCCGCGAAGCCCGGCCCCAGCTGCTCCACGTAGCCCTCGGGACGGTCCCGGGCCGCCTCCGCTCCCCTCGCTGGGAGGTTCCGAGATGGGCGGTCTTTCGGCAGTCAATTGGCGAACCCCCTTTTTTCAGTGTGGGCGGGCCATTTTCCCATTGAAGAGCCTCTTGACGTTTGGGAAAGGGTAAGAGCTGTCCTTTGTGGACACCATGCACGATAGTTTGCTGCTTTGACAAATAAAGCTCTAATTCAGCCTGCAAGTAGTACTACCCAAGTGCTGTGATAAGAATAGACCTTGGAAAACACGTTTTCACATTCAATAGTTTTCACATTCCACATCATTCCACCAAGCCCGATCCTCAAAATAGGTGCCAGGTGCCTCATGTTCTCCTCAACTCTTTTGAGCTGAATCGGGTGAGAAGGTGCCTCATCCTCAAACTGAAGTCTTTAACTCTGTAGCCATAGCCACAGTATGCCATAGTCATCACAGAATGAAGTCGAAAGCTTCTGTCCGTGGCGCTCTCTGATGGATTGGCGCCTTCTTTTGAAAAGAAAGGCGCCAAAAGGCGCCTGCGCGCGCCTGCGCGCAAGCTCACGACGGAGCTGGGGCCCGCGCCAGCTTATGGAGCTTCGGGGCCAAGTCTTCCAAGTAGATCTCCTCCACAGGATGTACCTTGAGAGGTCGCGAAGAAAGGATTCGCCGCCCCTCGGGCGGGCGTCTGATGGGCGCAGGTGTCGTGACCTCTGTTCTCCATTCGCGAAAGCCACTGGAACATCACTGGGACATTCTCAAAAGCATAGAACATGATAGAACCTACCTGTGGAAAGAATAATGAAGAATCAACATACACAATGATCGATCCAGAGAGGACAGTTTCGTTTCAACGGCGGGTCCGGTCATGTCCGGTCGACCTGCATTGCATGATAGTCCACTCCCGGAACAGACACCCCCCCCGTCTTCGTGTCTTCTTCGCTCGTCTGTTTTGCTGCAGGTCTTCGGCGCGGCAAACGAAAACCGCACGATGCTGAGAATCTAGGGAGAGTGAGCCAGATTGGAAAGACGTGTCATGATGATCACCGCGATGAATCTCTGAATGTCACGGCAAGGTTTGCACATATCAAATGATTATATAACATCTGAATCTCCAAAGCAGACAATCAGAATCAGAACTATTTCTCTTTGGACAAAAAGAGTTGACAAATACACCAACTTGGTTTGCAGGAACGTGGGCTTTGTTGCATGTCGTGTCAAAGGAACAATGCTGTCGGGTCATCGCAGAAGTCTTCCCATTTTCCGGCGATGCTCATCTTCAGCCCGATCCCAGCGGTCTCTTTGCTCAACTGTTGGGGCCGGTCGGGCAGACCGCATGGAGCGACGTGCAGCGACTTAGGTTCGCCGGCCCTTGTAGAACTGATCCACATCTGTCGAGTACCTCCACGGTGGTTCCACGAGGTGGTGCGGCGTGGTTTCAGAGAGAATCTTGAAGCATATATAGTGGTTTCAGAGTAGATGGCACAATCCCCAAAAGTTGGTTTATATGACCTCTTGGGGGTTGTGACTGTGGCCTCTGCAGTGATTATTGGCCATTCCTGACATGGAGTGAAAAAGGATTCTGGATTCGCACCAGTTGGAGGCTCTGTTGGAGCGGACTCGCCACCAGCAAAATTCACCCCTTAAGTCTTCCAAACCTGGTTTGGGGGGTGCGTGCAAACAGACGGTCTTAACCACAGCATTGAGCGGTGTCAAAAACCGGTCTACGATCTGTTATACTTTTTCTTGCTTCCGCCAATACTTGCGCGGGGCTTCCGCGGGCCATGTTTGGTTGAAATCCTCTTCCGCGGTACTTCCACGACGTATTGCTCAAAGGTGCTCATAGGTTAGGTAGTAGAGGCATTTAGTATTATCATGTATTGTCCGTATTGTCAAGAAGAAAGAATATGCACTTCCGCAAAGCTGAAGGGGTGGTGAATTTTACCATATCTACTTCCGCGGTTTGCTTCCTCTTCTCTTCCACGACCGCAGTTTTGGGCTTTCTTTCGGCAAGTTGGAGTTTACAAGTGTGTTCAATTGGTTTGTGTACCGAGGTGTTTGACGCTGCGATGACGCTGCGTGGCTACGACATGCTGCGTGACCGACGGCGCACTGCTGCATCAGCAGCTCGGCTTGGAGTTGTCGCCAGGTATCCTGGCACAGAGCCGAAGGGACCGGAGGTGCGACCAGGACAGGGAAACCTTGGTGTGGTTTTTGTTTGAACAGTATGATGTTGGTCAGTTGTTGCAGCACAATCACAATCAGATTATATCAGATTCAATTCCACCTTCTTACAGCCAAGTCCAAAATACCAATAGTGTCTGAACGCCCATTGCAACACCTGCACTTGGGCATTCTGCAATGGGGTTGTACATGGCTCTGCTAAAGTTGATGAAGGCAAATCAGGCAGCAATGGGGTCTCAACCTGCTTCTATCTTGAATATCTTACCTGCAGGCAGTCAAGATACACGTTGGAGGTGGCTTGCAACTGTTCCCGACGAAACGCCACAGGACATGCTGCAGTAGAAGAACATCGACACTCTCAAAAAGATCATATAGAATTTATATACATGAATTGACAATTGGATCCAAGTCAGTTGCCTTCATTCATTCCTTCATCCCATGTCCTGTCGCTCTCGCCTTCCTGAGGACCCGGGCGGCGGCCACACCCACGAGGATGAGCAGCGAGGTGCCACCGAAGGAGTTCGGGGTGCTCAGCTTCCTCGGAGCCGAGGTGCCGAAGGTGCCGAGGCGCACGGAAGACGGTGCCGAGGTGGTCAATGGTGCTCATGAAGCTACGTACTTCATATACGTAGTTGAGATTTATTTATCCATAGTAATGCATTTTAAATATGTCTTTTGTAATCAATTACACATATAATCACATATTATAGAGAGAAAGAGAGTCCAGAGAGATCCACGTGTGTGTGTGTGGGCATCTGTATGAGTTCTTCAGCATCCTTCAGCTCTTCTCTGCCGTTGTTCAGGACCTGAGAGCTCCGGACGTCACGAGCTCAATGAGGTTGGGCAACACGAAGAGCAAGGCCAAGATGATGGCGCCAAAGATGGAGGTGCGAGACAAGACCTTCGAACGAAGAGTGGGGGCATCACTGGAGCGTTTCACGTGGTGTGGCCACATGTGGCCACTTGAAGCAAGTGAGGTGTCATGCATGTCGTTACACCCAAGTGAGGCTTCGCAGTGGAAACTTCATGAAACTTCATGAAACCTCAATCTGTGCCTATCACTGACCTATTCCAGCCAAGGGGCATGCAGAATGCCAAGGGGGGGGCTTGGAACCACCTGACTCTGTTTCTCCCACCGAGCTCCCGTCTCGGTCTTCAACCACCGACCCTCCCGCCTCTCGGAGATACTCCTCTGTCTCGCGGCCCGGCCGCACTTGGGGGATCGCCGCCGCCTCGCGTCGACGAAGCGAGAGGGGTCTCTTCTGGGTGGGGACTCGGAACAGGTTGAAGCGTATGTTGTCTGAGGAGACGTTGGATGCGTGTTCCTCAAATAGGACCAGATATAGCATGATATAGCTAAGGTGTCTCTTCTTGTTTGAACAGGCAAGAATCTAACGTTTGTCAATTCGACGCAGGCAAGGGAATCGAAACAGCAAAAACCGGGTAGGCCAGTCTTTTGACTTCGGGATCTTGTCCCGTTTGCAGAATCGTCAGACGAGATGTGCTCCTCGGGTTCTGGAAAGTGTGACATTCTCATTTGGACGTATTCCCCTCGACTCACTAACGTGCAAGTGGAACATGGCCCCTTGGAAGACGACTTTCCTTAACGAACAGGGGGGTTCCCACTTCTATGCGATGTGTTCGTCGGAGGGCACTCAAGGATGCCTTGAGGCCCGCCCCCCCTTGAGCAATTGAAACATATTGAAACTCATCGCCCGGACAGCTGCGAATGCTTTGCTTCAACGAATGGGCACCGCACGGTGGCATCGGCACCGAAGAAGGCACCTGCTTCCGGAGGTTTGTGGCCATGTCCTTGGGGTCCAGCACTTGAAACGTGGAGACGTAGGAGAACCTCGGTCGCTTCCCGAGTCAACGTCGTCGCGTCGTCGACATCCCAGTCGAGCGTCGCTTCCTCACTTCCCAGCCGTTCACGGCATTGTCCAAACAGCGCGGTGGAGACACTGGGGGCTTTGACATCAACACCAAGGCCACCAAGGACAAGGCCGAAAGGCCAGAAGATCATCCCTGACTTGCTTCGCCGAGGTTCATGGTGAAATTCCATTCTTGGATTGGTACTGTCGATCTGATTGACATATCACACCAGATGGCTCCCTTTGAGACCCTCAACATGTGCCTCGCAAATGGGAGAGGAAGGAAAGGACAGAAAACTCTGGGGCAAGTCTCGAAGCTCGTCTGTTTGTTTTGTTCGAGCCCGCCGATATCCTCATGGAGAGAACTTTGTTCCAACAAGAACGACGCTTTTCGGTTGTCGAAGTTGTTCGGCTTCCGAACGATGATCTGCCTCGAACATCGTCCAAATCGATGTGAGTCCCTTGCCCAACATCGACGCATCACGCCGATGCCAACCAGAACGACGCTCCGTCTCGCATTTTGCGGCCCGCGGAACAACGCAATCAGCACCATGCTCCTGGGCACGGTTGTCAGATGGTTTTTGATGGTTTTTTACTGGTTGGTGATACTGCTGCACGTTCAAATCCATAAGGTGTTATGGGGGCAAACATCCTCGCACTGCAATGCTTCTTGTTTTTCCTGTTGCTTATGTTATGTCTCCTGGGTTGTCTTCTTTTTCTTGTGCCCTTTTTCTTTCCTTTGCTTCTTCTTCTTCTTCTTCTTGTTCTTTTCTTGCTCCTGCTCCTTTCTTCTTTTTGGTTTATTCCAGAGCAAGGTACTAGACTCCTGAAAGGTCCAGGGCCAACTTCGAGGGGAGGCTCCGGACCAAGCCCTGAAAAAGCTGTAAGAAAAAGAAACCAAAGTAAAACAAGGCCCAATGATCCTGAGGTGTCAGGTTCCAGTTCCAAAAGTTTGTTAGTTCCAGACATCAGGAAAATCCCAGACATTCCAAAATGGGTCTCGAAAGTCGAGAGCGGGCGAGTGCGCCAAAAACGGAGGCAAGGCGGCCTCCTTTTATTGTTCTAATCAAAAGCAGGGCCCATTGAGGAATTGAAGACAAGACAGCGTCTGGGAAGCGTCCGAAATCAAGATTTCAGCCACTGTTGCAGCCCTCTTCATTGGGCATTCGATTGATGCAAAGTGGGACTGCCCCCCTGCAATGTTTAAAGTAATAAAAGCCAAAAGGCTCCTTGTGAGTCCAAAGGTTACACACACACACACACCACACGCGTATGGTGCGGCACACGGCACTCCCGAAAAGACCCATTGGCGACATACGTCAGCTGTCAGTTAGGTTCGTTGAATTAGACATTACAAATAGACATGACATGCAGGTGTGTATGGTGAATTGTTAGGACGACTACTCCGCGTCATTGGAAGCAAAGCGTGCTTCCTCGACAAACCAGGTGTTTTCCACTCCCATGTGAGTTGTGAGATGTGCGAGTCTTCTGCGGCTTTGGGTGGGTTCTCTCATGTTGAGACAAACCACGTTAGTCCATCAATTATTGCATATTTCAAAGCATGTTCTAAGCTTAATCAATCACACA